ATGTCTTCGATCCAGGCAATTACACTGTAGGAGGAGGAGGGGGGGGGGGGGGGGCAGAAGAGGTGGGAACTGAGAGGAGGCTCCATCTGCCACTGTGGACTTAATGTGTCCATCAAGTCTGCAGTTACAATATGTCTCCGTGTTTCTGTTTGTCCTGACTTCAGTTCCTCTGCGCCTCCTTCTCTAATACAGAATCTGTTTCTTATTGTTTTATTGCATCATATTGTTCCTCATTGTCATCTTTCTTTGTACTTAAAGCATCAATCCATTACATAATTGGGGCCACTCAGCATTTTCTCAGCCATCTGTTTCACAAAGTGTACACAAACAGTCTTTTGACATGCTCTAATCTACGGTCCGCTCTTACCGAGTGGAGCAAATTAATACCGCTAAAATAACACGATTCAGGGTTTGTTTTTCAACTTTTACATTTTTATGTGATCTGATAACTTTCAAAAAGACACCTGCAGCTGGGGATAAAAGACGAAGTGCTATCGCAGCAGCTAACTTGTGCACAAGAAAGGAACGAGTTTAGATCATTTCAATTCACAGTCTAAGTTTTATACGACAAGAGCAAGCAACCCAGAAGTGCTCAGTGTTTGCTGACAGAGTGTCCGTTTATCTTCAAAGGGTCCTCTGGAGTCTTCTTGAAAACAAATAATTTACATTCTGAAACTCACTGGGTGTTTCCTAATCCTAACGGATGTTTTCAATGCGTTATCACCTTCATAAAACACTTGCAAAGCAGTTTGGAGCAAACGTTGTCTACTGTACATTCACGTGTCCTTGCTAACGGTATTCGTCTTCCCCGCTGAACAAGCACCAGTATGTCAGTGGAAATGGGAAAGTAGGACGGCTGAGAAGTTAATAAATTCAATTCGTGCTCTAAACAAATCCCGTATTCACAGACGAGGGGGACTCACAGGAAACAAATATTAGTGAAAATGTCCTTTTTGTTTCCTTGCTGCGCTGCAGTCATGGGTTAATAAAAACATGTAAATGAATAGAGTAGTAAAATACAGAAACTTAGTAAAACTAAAAAAAATAAGTAAACCCATCCCTTAATCAGCACTTCAATTAATCAAATGACCACACACACCAACCGACACACAACGTGCAGCTGCCCGCTGTGTGATCTCCCTCTAACCAGCCCACCTTTCTCTGAGCTGGTCCGAGTTCTTCTCCATGCTCTCGTTCTCCGCAAACTCCATCAGCTCGCGGGCGGCGCGGCCCATGTTGACGGCGGTGGGCCGAGCCGAAGTCAGGTGACACAGAGACTCCCTGATGAAGGTAACGGGGTCGTCGCCCCCGGCGCCTGCCCGCAACTCCACCGCCAGGCTGAGACAGCCGACGATGGCGATGGCCGGGGCGCCCCGCACCTGGAGGAGGAGGAGGAGGAGTCAGCATCACATGGTGGTCTTCATCTTTGCTCTCTATGCCAACTTCTAACAGATGTCTCCCAGTTCCAGTGAGGAGTATTAATCTCTTCCCACCACAGAGTTGTGAGCGGGTGATCACTGAGCCAAAAAGCTTAGACCAAAATGATATCATCTGTCTTCATGTCTTCCCTCTCTTTACCATTAGACTCCATTATTATCATGACATCACCCTCTCTGCTTATGGAACATTCCTTCACTCTGTCACACACACACACACACACACACACACACACACACACACACACACACGATCAAACATGTAGCTGCTGTCTGTGTGTGTGTACCCGGGGAGGACAAAAGAGTGAATATCTGCTCAGCCCTAATAAGTGAAAACCTGAAAATGTCCCCAGCTGTTGGAGAACTGGAACAACATGCAACTCTCTGAGCATCTCTCCGTGTCAGGCCTTCAGGTATGGAGGGAGAAACGAGCTGGGGGTGTCACCGAGTGCATGCAAGACCCGAACGCGAACAAAAACCCTGGCAAAGGTCATTAATAATTCATCAATAATCTCTCCCAAAGAAAGAGGAGGGGGGCATATTATTCCACGGGTGGGCGGCTGTGTGCAGATGCAGAGTTAGTCGCGCTTGCACATGATAATGTGAAAACTATAAAGGATGGTAGTGAGGAGGGGGGGGTAGATGGCGGGTGCTGCAGGTGCATCCAAAACAAAAATACGGGCCGACAGCGGGAGCACGGAGGAAAGCATATTGGCAACACATGCGTGCAGCGGTGGGAGCACAAAAGACCCGATCAAAAAAAATGAATAATAACATGCACGACGGGAATAAATGCATAAGCAGCGGGACATGCGGGTCGGCTGGCAAGCGGGAGAGAAATCCCCGAGAGAGGGGGGGAAAGGGTGGAGAGAGAGAGAGAGAGAGAGAGAGAGAAAGAAAGGGGCTCCGTACCTTCATGGACTTGATGGCCTCGTACGCGTCCTGCACTGAGCGGATCTCATCGTACGAGGTCTGGTGTGGCAGCAGCAGCTGGTTGAGGATCTGCAGAGACCCGGCCCGGTAGCGGATCGCTTCCAGCGTCATCACGGAAGAACGAGGCGGGATAGTGGGAGAAATAACACTGATGGACCGGTTGCGGGCGGGTGCGCGCACACGCACTCTCACTCACACACACTCTCTCTCGTCACACACACTTTCACTCCTCTCTCTCTCTCTGTCTGAGCGGATACACGTTGAAGTGACCGCGGCCTGGCTGTCGACAGTCCCGGTAGCCGTCGCAAGGAGAAGAAGCAACGAGGAAGAGGAGGAAGAGGAGGAGGAGGTGGTGCAGGCGGGTGGGACGGAGTAAAAACAGGAGAAGGTCTGCCGTGTTGCACGGGAGGATAGATGGGGAGAGGAGTGAGAGAAGAGCTGGAAACCTTCACACACTGACAGGCGAGCAGGGACGCAGACACGGAACCACGTGTTCACCCGAGCAGGAAGCCCTCGTCTCTGTGACCACGCCCACCAAAGTCTCGCGGGTTGTCCAATTTTACCAAGACTCCCCTCTTGTGTTCCTGTGCACCATCCCCCTCTCCTCTTCCCTCCCTTTGTCAGGGGGAATTTCACATTCAAACACGTTATTAGCATAACACCAAAGCCCCGAGCTTCACCCCCCCAAAAAACAGCGAGCATTGTCTGTAAAAAAAGATACGTCTGTTGTGTCTTCCATTTCATTGTTCTTCCATCAATTTAGGTGACATTGGCTTTAAGTCCTCCCACAAACCAGCTGTGTGAGAATAAATAGTATTAATTATTACAAAACCAACCAACATGTTGCCTTATAAAACCCACTACAGTGTTTAGTGGAAACCCTTTGTCACAAACTGGGATTGCATATCTGATAGTGAAAACACAAAAATTACCATAAAGCATTATTACACCAAATAAGTCAATATTTCACATTGAATATGCAGTTATAAAACAGTCCAATCAAAAAGGGACGTCCAGTTGCAGTCTGCTGTGGTTCTCCTGGATCTTCATACTAGGAACATACTGTATACATATATATGTACCTGCACTTTTTGGGGGATTTGTGTGGAATGCTGTATAAAAAGTTCTGCAAATCAATCACAGACATTGATCATATGAAAATCCATGAGAACTAAACATTTTCACAGAATTGACTGCAGCAGACTTCTGAAACATGTCATCTTTTGCGAGATATTCTCTTACTTCAAGCTGATAGAAACGGTTTAAAGGGCCACAGGCTCTAAGTTTCAATGTTGTTCACAAATCAGTCCAAATGGGAAAAACCTGGTCCGGATTTTTTTTTTTGTTCAATGAAGACACAAACCCGGTGCTGTTTCACCATTTTATTGATTTCAACAACGACCTCATACAGAAGATAATAAAGCCTGAACACAATCAGGCCTCCATACATTCCCCGTTTGAGCCGCACAAATGATCACGACTGACACTCGAAAATAGAGACGGAGCATATTATGCTGTATATTTACTGTATACAAATATTACATTTATATTGATTGCCCTTAAATGACTTAACTGAAGAAAAAGCATTTTCCCCCAAAGTCCAGATGATTACATTTACTGCAGCAGATCAGGAACATTAACAAATATGACAAACAATCCACCAAAATGTCTCCTTTTTAAAATGGAGTGAAGACAAAAAGAAAATATGAGACGGAGTGTGTGTGTGAGAGACAGGAGAGTGAGTCACCAACAGGACAAACTTTAACGATGTGTCGCTCTCCCCGGGTCCCGACCACCGAACTACAACACTGAATGCTGATGAGCCCGTTGGCATGACAACAGGACAGCCTCAGAGGCCATGAGGTCACTCGAGCAGTGAGGTAATGTGGCAGCAGTGTGTGAGAGTGTGTGTGAGGTGACAAAGGTTAAAGGTGTTGGAGTTAAAGAATGGGGCTGCTGCTCAGTTGCAGTTCCTGCGAGTGTGTTTAAAGGCGATGAACGCGGAGTTATATCAGATCTACGACGTCATAGTCTTTACATGACTTTGTAAATATAAATATTAAAAAACATTTTCTGTTAAAGAAAAAAAAAAAAGGAGCAAACCGGTGGTTTTCCATGTTTTGGACCCATTTTGGCCTGTTTTAACAGCCATTGGTTTCCATTAATTACCGTAAAGTATAAAAAACAATTAGTAGAATTTTGAATCTTGCTTGAGTTGTGTAATCCATTGAGTCTGCATACATCATCTTAATCGTTAATGCAGTTTTTCAAACGTATGTGCATCTAAACTGCAATACTGAATGATGCAACACGATACACTGACAATGTGTAAATGTTTGTCTCAAACAGAGTTTTGTTTGTTTCTGTAAATGTTTAGCAAGCAAGTTGCAACAGTCTGCTAACTGATTCACGTCCTGCACTGAAACTAATGACTAACTGGAACAATCGGGACAACGCATCAAAAGCGAAACTGGTGCTGCAGATATTTAAAAATTGTCAGCAAAAATATTATATGTCCATGATTTGTAGTTAAGGAGGTAAAGTTACTTGCCCGCACACACACTCACGTATAGGCCTTTAAGATCCACTATAGGTTGAACTTCATCATGTTGGTATAACGTACCACTTACAGAGAGTCAGAAGATATCTTCTCCCGATAGATTAAAAAGAATAATGTGGGGGAAGGGATGTTACATAAATATCAACACAGACTGTGGAGGGCCTCATCAGGTCAACTTTAACCGGGATTATTTGCTAATGGGGCGAGGCAGTGGGTGGATTAAGACAAACGCATGATTCTCTGCTGTGTCACATGACTAAAACAACCATTAGCAGAGTTACCAGACATCATCCACATTGAAGAGTCAGATAAAACAACACATACAGCGAGGCTCATTTAAAGACGTCTGCTACTCTCTGGCTGCATGAAGTCAATGAGGATCAGCAGAATCTACTGTCCGGAGCACTAAACACAACAGAGAAGACATGCTGTTGTACAATCTAAAGTTGTTGCGGCAAAATGACTAATTTCAAGGCCTCTGCATTTGTCACACGTCTTCTGAAGTCTTACAGGATCGGTCTGAATGCTGTACCCTCGACTTCACGCTCACAGTGAGTGTAAAGTAGAGAGGAATGACTCGGACGCCTGTGACAGGGATGTCTGTGGTGCAACAGAAATAGAAATGAGCAATTACTCAGCCTTACTGGCACATGTTGGGTTCTCTTCCTCTGGGCAGACTACTCAGCACCCACTGTGCTGCTACTGGAGAGCTCAGCGGGACAGATCCTGCTGCTTTTGTAAACGGCATTTGCCAAAATGTGTGCAAAATAGCAGCATGCTGACACAGCAGCTGATAATTATTTCATAATCGACAGCATAATGGGCTTAATATTGTTTAAGAGTTTAAGGAAAATCCAAGTAGAGCCGCCGATTACTCGCGACTCTGAATGCTCTGAATGCACGCAAAGGAATTAGTGCGACGAAAGTGAAGATGAAGAAGACAACAAAGAAGAAACAGCTGATGAAGATGCAGAAGAAGAAGAAGCAGCAGCAATCCTTCTGCAGAGCTAAGCTTCTACCACATTCACGGCACGCTGCTAACACCCCCTCTCCCCAGCCCCAAAGGCGACTCTACGTCTGATCTCGTCGTCTCCTTGGTGACACAAACACTAATCCCTCATTATGGGATGTAGGCTGCGGCGCCCCCAAGCCCCGTTTTTTTTTTTATTCCCATATCACACCACTCCAAACGGAGCAGATTACCGTAATCTGGGAACACTGGAGCAGACAGATTAGATTAAGCTCATTACACACATAAAATATGGGAAAAGGGGTTAAAAACTCCTCACTCTGTTGGTTAAACACACTTTAGCGCACACACACACATGTTTTGGTCATCTACGGACACCTACACTGACTCTCTGAGCTGGTGCCAAATGTAAAACGTATAGATCTTCTAACAGATCTCCTCACCAACAAAGGAAAGATGGGAATAAAAAACGAACATGGCATCGGTAAGGTATGTTAAGCTGTGCTTCAGAAGCAGCTTTCTCTGGTGTTTAAGTGCAAATAAGCCTGCGTCGCACATTTTAATGCTTACTTTCTGTGTCCCTTTGTAGCTACAAATTTCTTTTTAATGACTTTCGCAGGGGACTAACCCCAACGTGACACATGTTTTATGATCAATTGACAGAATTATCTGATTGGTTGATGCAGTTTTCATGGAAATGAGCAGCATAGAATCATGCAAAAGGTGCTTAAAGTCCCCCGATGTAGTGTTTGTATATGAACGTGTATGAGAGAGACGATATAACAGTACTCCAGCCAAGTCTCCACTCCCTTAACTCTCCTCTCATCCCGTGCGTTTTCTTTTCAGCGAATCCAGCTGAGGCAGGGAGAAAAGGAGGACATAACATTGTACATCATTTACAGACATTATGATAAAACATTTGTTTGCATTGGCAACCCATACCTCGTTCTCCACCATCCTCAACCTGCCAAGCGCATCCTTGGCAGCGTCCTATAACAAGACAATGACAACTTTACACAATAAGGCCCAACCTAAAAACATACACACACACACACAGACACTCAGTTCAACTGTACTTACCCTGTTGCCTTGGCTGGAGTGTTTCTTCACGGAGTCAGCATACCCTTGGACGGAGCGCTGCAGCGCATTTTCATACTCTACACACGTGGTGAAGGAAGATGTCGGTGTTTGAGAGGTCGAGACATATAAACACACGTGGTAGTAAAGTAAGCACTCGTTTGTATTCTTTGTGCGAGTTACCGGTCAGTAGAGCGGAGGAGGCTCGCTCCAGCTGCGCTTTCTGCCACTGCAGCCTGTGTGTGACCTCTTTGTATTGGTGGACCAGGTCAGAGGGGGGATGCCGCTGCGCCTTTCGATAGTCTGCAATCTGAGAGACCCGACGAGACTTTCCCATTAGAGAAGTGGATGTTGTGGACGGTGCTTAGACCACACGCACATAAACGCACACAAATACCTTTCTCTCCATCCGCTCCCTGTCGTGGTTGAGGAGGCTGAAGCTGGTGAGTTTGTACAGTGGAGGAGAGTTGTTGGGATGACTGCTCCTGCTGCTCGCTTCATGTCTGCTGCTCGCTTCATGTCTGCTGCTCGCTTCATGTCTGCTGCTCGCTTCTTGTCTGCTGCCTGCTTCTTGTCTGCTGCCTGCTTCTTGTCTGCTGCTCGCTTCTTGTCTGCTGCTCGCTTCATGTCTGCTGCTCGCTTCATGTTTGGGTTTAGACCGAGGAGATGGAGCCTGATTCAAACACACACAAACTGAGACTTCACTGAACTGACACCGTCAATATATGTAATGCCGATGGAGTCAGCTTCCGTTACTCCTGTTCGGTTCTAAGTGCGAACATGAACCGGCCGGCTGGAGCCTTCGTGCGGAGTTCTTCCTGTGTCCTCTGGAGGAATCCCACGTTTCCTTCCACAGTCTACACACGTGAATACTCTACTCACCCGTTCCTTTTGTCTCGCTGGAGGAGAAAGGGAGGACACCGGATCGAGAACCAGCCACTTCTCCGTCACCGGCTGGAGATCAGCTCCTGTTAAAGGCTCTCTGATCTTCACCTTCACCTCCAACTTTCCACCTGTCGCTTTTCGTCCATCCATCACCTACGAGACACACTGTTAGATAGAACTGGTACGTACATGTGCGTATGCATTTGTGTTTACTTGCCATCAACACCTACCTCTATTATTTCTCTAACGTCACACTGGTTCTCTAAGGCCTCGAGCTTCATCTGAGCAGTGCCCACAACTCTGTCCGTCTTAAACAGGCCTCTGTGAATACAGAGAGAAGAACACAACTGACAAAAGCATAACATACATGACATTTACAGCTTAGATCACGAGGATAGACGGGGAAGCTTCTGCCTATATTGTCCAAAAAGCAGTTGTGTGGTTTTTTTTTTTTTACCCCTTGTGGACGATTTCAAACTTGATGCCTTTGGACTGGACGACTCGTTTGAAGCCTCGGTGGGCTCGGTTGATGTTGAGTTTGAAGTTCTCTTTAAACTCGGGGTTGTTGGTGCTCTTTACCGTGCCTGTTTTGTCCCTCTGAGCCTCCTCCTACATGCAGACAAATGAATGCATTAAAGCACATCTAGATAAAACCAGAGTGAAACATCCACAATCTACTCACTGAGCGAGTGAGATGCTCACCGCACTGGGAAAAGGAAACTCAAACTTCACACTGGCATCCAGATCGTTAGGCGAGACACCTGAAGGAGGAGAGGTAGGTGTACGTGAGCAAACATGTGACACATTACTGCCGGGTGATTTCAAAGACGCAGAGCTGCCATCAGTACCTGAGGGACATGGCAGGTTGATGCCTTTGATGATGTACAGAATCAGGTCATTTGGTGTCAGGCCATTGTGGATCCTAAATAAGAAAGAAACGGGGGGGGTCCAAGACCATTTAGAAACAGCACCACGAGTGACAGACAACAACCAGTCAGCGTCCCTGGATGCCAAACAATCCCGACTGTTGATGAGCCTGTTTATGAGTCACTGCCAGAGTTACCTAGCTGTGAGCTCCGTATGATACTGGAGCAGAGCCAGAGTGAGTCAATCTGACTCATCTACCGCGCTCGTCAGGGAAAGTCTAAAAAAATGTATTTTCTAAAGCAAACATCTGATGCATGTGTGCATGAGAAAAAAAGTTTAAATAATTACTGATATCCTTTAGCTGTCAGAAATCCTCGGGTTAAAAATAAATCCTTAACTGGAATGCAACGATTATGCAACCGGAGTTTATCCTCACGTTCAAGTAAAAGGAAACAGGATCTCTGCTAAAAATATCAACCTCAAGGTGGATAAAAGAAAATCCAGGTGATCTCCAAAGTCAATCATTGTCATCCTCTGGAAATGTAAACATCTGCACAAAGTTCATTGTCAGTCCATCGAATTGTTTGTTGAGATATTTCAGTCTGGACCAAAGTGGTGGATTATCTGAAGTCATTACCATGGCTGAAAGAAAATACATTAAAACTAATATTATATCATTATCAATTATGTTTGTTGCTGACTTGACGGTGTTCAAGGTCCTCTCCTCCGTGCGACACTTGGGGACTGGCTGGCCCTTGGCGTGGGCGTTCTTCAGTATGCCGATGCTCTTCATACACTCCTCCACTAGTTTCTCAAACCTGGTGAGAAACAGAGACGGTCCTTACACACAACTCATCACATCTCATATGAAGTCTGGCAGTACGGACTGATCTCTGCACAGACAGCAGTCATAGTACGCCGGACAGCTCTATTTGATCAAACGAACACACGGATTCCCGCATTGTTCACTGAAGAACTTCAGGAGTTTGATATATTGACATTTTTTAAAGCAAAACTGGAGAAAGCAATGAGAGTCTTAAGGAATGCGTGATGGTTGAATGTATGTGAAAAGATCTGTGAGGAGAACGTGCAAAATATTCAGTGTGACATGAAAGCTACACTGCATGCACTATGGTGATGAGAAAAACAAAAAGTAAAGTCACAGTGTGTGTGTGTGTTGACACTGTGATGATGTGCTCAGTTGAATAAATAAAGAAGTATATCAGGAGATACAAATACATACAGTGGGTACGGAAAGTATTCAGACCCCTTTAAATTTTTCACTCTTTGTTTCATTGCAGCCATTTGCTAAAATCAAAATAGTTAATTTTATTTCTCATTAATGTACACTCGGCACCCCATCTTGACAGAAAAAAACAGAAATGTAGAAATTTTTGCAAATCTATTAAAAAAGAGAAACTGAAATATCACATGGTCATAAGTATTCAGACCCTTTGCTGTGACACTCATATTTAACTCACATGCTGTCCATTTCTTCTGATCCTCCTTGAGATGGTTCTACTCCTTCATTGGAGTCCAGCTGTGTTTAATTAAACTGATTGGACTTGATTAGGAAAGGCACACACCTGTCTATATAAGACCTTACAGCTCACAGTGCATGTCAGAGCAAATGAGAATCATGAGGTCGAAGGAACTGCCCAAGGAGCTCAGAGACAGAATTGTGGCAAGGCACAGATCTGGCCAAGGTTACAAAAGAAGTTCTGCAACACTCAAGGTTCCTAAGAGCACAGTGGCCTCCATAATCCTTAAATGGAAGAAGTTTGGGACGACCAGAACTCTTCCTAGACCTGGCCGTCCAGCCAAACTGAGCAATCGTGGAAGAAGAGCCTTGGTGAGAGAGGTAAAGAAGAACCCAAAGATCACTGTGGCTGAGCTCCAGAGATGCAGTAGGGAGATGGCAGAAAGTTCCACAGAGTCAACTATCACTGCAGCCCTCCACCAGTCGAGGCTTTATGGCAGAGTGGCCCGACGGAAGCCTCTCCTCAGTGCAAGACATATGAAAGCCCGCATAGCCCGCACAGACTATGAGAAATAAGATGCTCTGGTCTGATGAGACCAAGATTGAACTTTTTGGCGTTAATTCTAAGCGGTATGTGTGGAGAAAAGCAGGCACTGCTCATCACCTGCCCAATACAATCCCAACAGTGAAACATGGTGGTGGCAGCATCATGCTATGGGGGTGTCTTTCAGCTGCAGGGACAGGACGACTGGTTGCAATTGAAGGAAAGATGAATGTGGCCAAGTACAGAGATATCCTGGAAGAAAACCTCTTCCAGAGTGCTCTGGACCTCAGACTGGGCCGCAGGTTCACCTTCCAACAAGACAATGACCCTAAGCACACAGCTAAAATAACAAAGGAGTGGCTTCGGAACAACTCTGTGACCATTCTTGACTGGCCCAGCCAGAGCCCTGACCTAAACCCAATTGAGCATCTCTGGAGAGACCTGAAAATGGCTGTCCACCAACGTTCACCATCCAACCTGATGGAACTGGAGAGGATCTGCAAGGAAGAATGGCAGAGGATCCCCAAATCCAGGTGTGAAAAACTTGTTGCATCATTCCCAAGAAGACTCATGGCTGTACTAGCTCAAAAGGGTGCTTCTACTCAATACTGAGCAAAGGGTCTGAATACTTATGACCATGTGATATTTCAGTTTTTCTTTTTTAATAAATTTGCAAAAATTTCTACATTTCTGTTTTTTTCTGTCAAGATGGGGTGCCGAGTGTACATTAATGAGAAATAAAATGAACTTTTTTGATTTTAGCAAATGGCTGCAATGAAGCAAAGAGTGAAAAATTTAAAGGTCTGAATACTTTCCGTACCCACTGTATCAAACATAAGCTTCTCAAGTGTGAGAATCTGCATATTTTCAGCTTTTAATGGGATTTAAAATGTATTTCTTTGGGCTTGTGACTGTTGGTCAGAGTTAGCAAATAATGAAGGTGTTTGTCGTTGTATGTGTAACGATGTAAAATTAATAATAAATCATCTGATCTCAGTCGTGAAGTCTTTGGTCGCTGCCTGTGATTTGTGGCAATCAAAATGAGTATGATGCCATCAATTCAAATACAGATTCATTCAATTTAATAAAATGTGCCTATTGGCATGGCTGCAGATAACATGTGTAACAATCACACCACGACGGGGTCTCTTACTTCAGAGCCTCGGCCACATTGCCCAAGAGAGTGAGCTGCTGAGAGAATCCCAAACACTTCTGTAGAGAGGCAGATCAAAGGAAAGCGTTGGTACGAGAACAGACAATAGCCAAAGACGATATGATGCACGACTATTGTGATTCGTCTTTTTAAAAAGCTGCACAGCTAGAAAAGTGATGAACAATCTGTTAAGGCCGTTATCGTGAGCAGACGCTTTCTTATACAATATACGTGAAAGAAGAAGGGAGAAGAGTGTCCTGACCTCATGCTGCTTCCGCAAAAGATCCATGAGGCCGTGGTACTGTTCACTGGAGCGAGGGGAGACAGGGGAGGTGCGGGAGCGGGCCAGGGAGTAGTCCTCCTCGCTGACTGGAGCGTTGGGAATCTGTCAGGAAAGAGACGATTACAAATGTGGAGCGACAGAAAAAACAAAATAAAATGTGTCCACTAGAAATTGTGAAGATGTTTGTAAGCCTGTGTGATGTTCTGGGGACGGAAAGGAAGACAAACTAACAGAGGCACAAAGTTAATATTCTTGGTAATCACACTGTGAGTCAGAGGGAAGAACACGGGTTATTTGAAACAAAGATGTTAAAATGAAAGTCAGGAAAAATGAAAGAAAGTCAGATGGGAGAAGTGGCAACTATGTGAAATATTAATAGATGAATGGCAATGAAAAAATGCTAATAAACTCTCTCTCTCACACTCACACACACACACACACACGCACACACACAGAAGGTGAGACCGTGATGAGCACAAAGGTGTTTTGATTTCACCCCGTGCTTCCTTCTTACCGTCTTCTATTTCTGTCCCGTTTTGTGTTAACACACCTCACACTTTTGGTTGCTCCTGTGACAACAGGTCACACACACACACCCACACACACACACACAAGAATATATTTATGACCTTGCTGATATCAACAGGCAGCCCAGCGTTGGCAGCGGTGACCATGGGGTCCAGTCCCTTGGCGTGTCGGAGGTGCTGCGCTGCTCCAGTCATGTCCTACAAACCATCACACGGCAGCAGATGTTCAAGACTCCAACTAAACAACAGGCGGCTGTAATAAAAGACATCTACCAAAACTATAAAGATGTCAGGGACTCTATCAGCAAAGAAGAGAAACAAATGAAACCCCCTCAGCTTACCTTCATCTGTTTGGATCGCAGCGCGGCACGCATAAAAGCCTGTCGCCTTAGCAACAGGAAATCCAATTGCTGCTGGACTGAAAGGATAATTAAGAGAAAAAGAAGTGAAACTCTGCCTCGCGTAGCACTCTAACTCCTCGTATTGGTACATTTTGTACGTGCGGGCAGAACACAGAACACTCTGAATGAACCTTTTGGTCCCAGCTTCGGAGCCGAGGGGCCTCCGGGGGGCTGAGGAGCCGGAGACTTTGCTTTCTGGGCGGGTGGACGCACTGCCGGCTGCAGAGAAGGAACATGCGAGTGTGAGGGTAAGCGTCACACAAATGCAATGACACACACACACACACACACACACACACACATACAGAGGTCTGGGTGCAGCGCTGCTCTCTTACCTGGGACCTTGATTTAGCATTTTTAACAATTTCAACAGCTGTGTCTTCACTAACTTTAGTGAGTCACTGTTTATATACTTGCCCGTGGTTTACAGTGACGCACGGTGTTGATGTGAGAATGTAGCAGAAACAACAGTCATAACTCAATAACCTGCACAGGAGCTGGCACGGCCAACAATAAAACGTGGCAAGCCTCGCTTGAAAAGGCGACCAATCAGATTTCTTGGCTGCACAACAACAACTTGACCATTTGGTCGTACCTTTATTTATTTATTTATCTTTTACCTTGGCAGCCTCTCTTTGTCCGTCCTCTTCATCATCTTCTGCGTCTGCGTCCTGATTAGCTATTTTCATCGCCGTTTCCAGGACACCCATGAAGCTCTGCTGACTCCCCTCTGAGCCCTGAAGTGGAGGACAGCCTACAAGAGCAACACACACACACACACACACACACACACACACACACACCTTACTGTAACTATAAAGTGCAGCAGAGGCCCAATCCTGAAACACACCGGGAGAAGGTTACCTGGCGGCACAGGTAGGTCAGACAAGTTGATGGCTCGTCCAGCTTTGTGAGCTCTGATGGCATCCTGGTATTGCTTTTGAGATCAGAGGAGATGATTGATAATTCTGTTAGTAAGGAGAATTCCACGCTTGGATACTCTTATATTCTGGTATTGTTACTCTGTCATAGTCCATACATTCCTCAATTGTAGCATTGTAAATCAGAATAAATACAATATATCTATAGCGAACAATCCCACCCAAAATATAAAGTGTCTTTCCTGCATATGAATACTGACAGAAGCAGATATCCCACATGGAGATCTACGTCATCAAAGTGCTTCCACTCCTACTAATACAATATAGTATATGCCGCACAACAATATCTTGTCCTTTCTTTCATGTTCTTGTCTTCACGTTCTTGTTTTATCCATTTACCTCGCCTCAGCCAAATCTACTTCACAATGAAAGGTTTCCTATTTTTCCCCCACAATGGCTTTCAACAATCCTCAGAGAACAAGGGAGACTTCACTGCAGGTTATTCTGGTCGCTAAAATGAGCAACAGAAGTGGTTACAGTAAAAGCAACAGAGGGTATTTCCAGTCAGAATAAAGTGAGTCTCACACACACCAGTTATAACACGCCACCGAACAGCAGCACACAGCCAGGAACGCAAGATGCATCCCAAATTGCTGTATCTTTGAGAATATCTAAAGCTGTATTTGTTTTGAAAAATATATTATTCGGCTTTGAAAATAGTTACAACGATATGGTACATAAGGGGCACGGTGTGTATACCTTGACAATGCGCTGGTGCATGCGAGCCTTCCGGTCATCTCCTTTGCTCTTGGCTCCCTCTGCTGCTGACTTGTATATGTCCATCCTCTGCTGCAGGGCTTCTCCCACATTGCTGGGAGCAGGCAGATCTGTGCAGGACGGACGGACGGACGGACGGACGGACGGACGGACGGACGGACGGACACACGGACACACGGACACACACACACACACACACACACACACACACACACACACACACACA